AAAAAAAAAAAAAAAAAAAAAAAAGAGTGGAAAAGAAGGAAAAAGGAAAAAGAAAAATTGCAGGTTTGACGGCCTGCAGTGGAAAACACGACGAAAGGGAGAAAATTTCTCTGGGAGGGGAGAAGGGTGCAGGCGAACGATGCTCGCTCGAGGGTTGGAACTGAAGGCAGAGAGGACCAAAAAAACATCGGCAGAAGTGGCATCAACAGGTTCCAGAGGAGGGGAAGTTTCGTGAAGCGCACGGCAATTGTGGCCGAGGTTCGCGTGAAATGTTCTGCAACTCTCCCGAGGCGTTTGCGTTGGTTGTTTCGAGAATTCCCTTCTCGCGTTGATGCCTCGATCCCAACCCCCCTCCCCTCCATCCCGATTTTAATTAATCCGCCGATGACATTCAGCTGAGGGAGAATCGTCATCACAACGGGGAGAGCAAGTTGGATTGAAATTGTGACGGGGATAATTTGGATAAGAAAAACGAGTCTCTTTACCTTTTTCTTTCTTTTTTTTTTTTTTTGATTTCGTGTCAAATACGATCGCTTGATTTTTTTTAATCCCTTGCTTTTCCATCCCCCTTTATGACGGACACGTTTTCGAAAAAATAAACCTTTTCCCAATCTCATAATATGAGCCCCTATGAGTCGGGATGTTAAAATTTTTAAGACGGAAAGGGATGGAATGTCGAAATTGTTCAACAGGGTGAAGAAAATGTCGATTGAGAGTGAAACGAAAATCGTTTTGTTAGGTTAAATAAATGTGATCGTAAGAATTGAAATAATATAATTGGCGGGCGTGATCGATAAAGAGAGAGTAATTGTGAAAGGATGGTGAAAAATTACTGGGATAGAAGTTCGTTAAAACGTGGTTCATTGGAAAGACGGTAATCGTAAAATCGATCGATACAAATTCGCGACAATCTTGGCTGTGACGAGCGGTAAAAACATCGCGTTTATTATTCATTACGGTTTTATTGTTCGATCAGCTACAGGTTGGCAGACGAGGAATTAAAAACTTCGTGCGCGGCCAGGAATAGGTAATTCCCGTTTTAACGACACCGTT